CTAAATCCTTGGAGATATTCTTCCAATTTTTAAGGTCTCTCTGAACGGACTCTTTCCAAGTGAGTTTAGACCGACCTCTACCTCTCTTAACAACATCGCAAAAGTCACGGTTCCGGCACGTTGATCACTAGCCTCCAAGCGCTCCTATCCACCGCTAAATCCTTGGAGATATATTTTTAAGGTCTCTCTGAATGGACTCTTTCCAAGTGAGTTTAGACCGACCTCTACCTCTCTTAACAACATCGGCCCGCAGTAGAACTCCCCTACGCACCGGTGCATCAGGAGGCCTCCGTTGGACATGTCCGAACCACCTCAGCCGATGTTGAACTAATTTCTCCTCAATTGGAGACACCCGACCCTATCTCGAATATCCTCATTTCAGATTCTATCCCTTCTTGTGTGCCCGCAAAACCAACGCAACAACCGCATCTCTGCTACACTTAGTTGTTGGACATGTTGCCTTTTTGTAGGCCAACATTCAACACCGTATAGCATCGCCGGGCGAATCGCCGTCCTATAGAATTTACCTTTTAGCCTTTGTGGCACCCTCTTATCACAGAGAACGCCCGAAGCTTGACGCCATTTCAACCAACCGACTGCAATTCTATGCCTAACATCTTCATCAATGCCGCCATCCTTTTGTAGCATCGATCCTAAATACCGGAAAGTCTCCTTCTTGGCCACCACTTGCCCGTCAAGGCTAACGTCACCGTCATCATGAGTAGCCATGCTGAAAGCACACGTCATGTACTCGGTCTTCGTCCTACTAAGTCTAAAGCCTTTCGACTCTAACGTGTCCTTCCACAACTCTAACTTCCTATTTACCACAACTCTAACGTGCCCTACTCTAACGTGTCCTTCCACTCTCTCTATTATTATCAATATAATTAAATAATATTAACCAATCATTATTACACATCACATCAACTTTAATTCACTATTCATCAACTCACATATTTTTAACTAACCATCACTTCCAATCATTTTCTCCTATTTTTACATCAAATCAACTTTAATTATTTTAATTTAAATATTATTTTAATATATCCACTAACAATTAACCATATTACTTTTTCAAACTTAACTATAGTTGAAAAAAAAAATTGTTTTTTACTAGTTGAATTCATATCCAATCACCCCCTTAGAGGTCTCCCGGTTGTACAATCTGGAAGCTCCAATTTTATTTAAACTTTAAAACGTATCTTACATTATTTATGTCCGCTCGTGTTTGTTTAACAAAGTCCTGGCTTCACTCATATAATAAACAAACAAAAAATGTGAGCTCGAACTCGTTTTCGCTTAATAAACAAATTCAATTCACTTATTAATCGTTGTTTGTCCCATTTTTGTTGCATTTTTAGTTATTATTTTCTCATTATTTTCCCCCATTTTGAGTCATTTAGTTGGTTTTAGGTTCATTTTGTCGTTTATTGTGTGTTTTGTGTTGTCTTGAGTGCCCCGATAATTTTTATGTTTTTTCCGGTAGTCTTTTGTTTGTGTTTTCGTTTTTGGTGTG